AATTAAAGAAATGGCTCAGAAAATTGCAGTGTATAAATATCTGGCAAAAGCAGCACTGAATTTCTTATGACAGCAGCTTGTTACTTCTAACTTGATTGGTGTAAAGCCACCTTACCTTGGGACAATTAACAGAGCAGGCCATGTTAGACTTATAGTAATGTTGTTTAACTCTCTGTTGGATTCAGACTTAGGGCAAGTGAGTGAGATGTATAATTCTATATCTCAGTACTGTCACTATTTGAAGCTCATCTCTTAGAAAAAAAAAAGAAAGAAATTCCTCTATCATATAATCTGGAATTACTGAGCAAGGTCACAGGATGTTATTCTTTTTTTCCCTACAGTTCCTGTATGAATGACCATGCTTGGTACCCCTATCTGCATTAGCACATCTACCAATTAATTCACTCGAAAAAACACTTAGGGATTTGGCCTTGTTCCTATCTAGCATGCATAAATCTTTTCTCTATATTCTGCAAATTATTTGAGCATAACGTGTGAAGTCACCGCTTCCCTAGGGATTTGTTTACTGCCATATTTGTAATTGGGGAACCCATGGGCCAGGCCAGCACCCTGAAAGGGACACCTTTTATGTAATTTTCCTCCCTACCTCCTTCTGTTGGTATTATATATATATATATTTATAGATAGATAGATAGATAGATAGAATGAAATGTATATGTGGATATTTTAATCTCTTGGATTAGTTTGGCTTTTTAGTTCAAAGAGGTTTCCCTCACAAATTTTTTGTCATTAATCTTCTCTCTTTTGTGTTTATTTCTGTCTGTAGTAGGGTAGAAGGAAGAGAAAATCTAACATTTACTTACCTGTTCTATTGAATTCCCCAGTAGGGACACAGCAACCCGAATCTGAAGTCCTAACCCTTCTCCATTCTGCCCAAAAGTTGAAAAAGGGTTTTGTCCACAGATTCATTTTAATTGTTACGAAAGCATTAGTTGTACTATAAGTCAGACCACTCTTGGTCACACCAAAATTTGTAGCATAAATGCTAAAGTGTATGTACAATCAAATACAAAAGGTTGTGTAAATAGCTCCCCTTTTGCTTTATAGATGTAGCTATAGAAGGGTTTTTTTTATATTGGTGTGAATATTTCATAAATACCTGTAGATCCTTCAAGTGTGTGCTCTCTCTCTCTCTGTTTTTTCAATAACGTGACCACCAGCTGAAGGATGAAGGTCCCCATGTGCTTTAATCCAATATACTGCGGCCAAGGTCCCCTGCTGGTTGATTGACAGCTGCTCTCCCCATTTAGCAGCTGAGACAGGGACTTGCTGTAAGTGTAACTGCCCCTTTTGCTGGACAGCTTGGCTTGTTACAGTTAGTAGAAAACAAACATTGCTGTGTCCTTTTTTCTTATTTTGCCTATAGTTACACTTTAATGCTCAATAATTATTTTACTCCTTAAGTAAAAAAATAAATGAATGAATAATACAAATAAGCATAACACACTCAGGCTTTTTTTAAATTCTTTTTTAATTCTTTTTTAAAAATATGTTTCAACCTTTTGCGTGTGTATATTTGTTTCACTTAATCATAAGTAATAGGCAGTTATAGACACTGTGAGGGTCACCCAGACTGAGATTAAATATATTGGCGAGCACGAATCATTAAACATTTGAACTTGGCGCCCTATTAGTACATTTACATTCTAACACTGTTTTATTTTACATCTAAAATTACTGAGAGATACAATGTCAGCACGTAATAAATATACAAACTGAGGTCCTAGCACTTGCACGTGGTTTGTCATCTAAGTTCAAAAGATATTGCACAAGAGAAGACATTATGTTTTTAGACTAGCAGTTAGCAGTTTGTGTTTTTATTACCTTTCAGGACTTGAGTTATAAGCACAGACTTTAAGGGGAAAAAATTATACACATGTATATTAAAGGCTTATAAAGATACATGCATGTGATTGTTTTGCAACCCTTATAGACATACGTTCCATGCCAACAGGTCAGTACATTGAAATACAGAAGATCAAGCACACATGACAACAGCATTAAACATTTTTAGTAAAGCAAAACACTGAGGCTTGCTTAATAGAATGGAGCTTTATTTAATAATTGTATGTCAGAGCGATGCTGGACAGAAGCCCATTTCATTAGTGTTATAACACTATGCTAACTACACATCCCTGCTCTTTGCACTTTATTGGGAGGTCCTTATTGTTCAACTAGAAGAAATGTGTAATACGATGGACATTTTCAATGATCTTTAAACAAAAACGGCAAGTTGGTGGGCACAATAACTAATCAGGTTGCAAAGGAAACATTTTTAAGTGACACGTCGCATTTTATGTAATAGCCTGGCATACACAGCCATGATCTTCTGTAGCCTTTGTGACTTGCTGCAATCAAATACAAGATGATTATTGATTAGAAGTGTAAAAAATATATCCTGTGCTCCCAACCTCTATAAAAACTATCATATGCGATCAGAATGAACCAGACATTGAGCTGTTTAGGTGACATTAAACATATTGCTGATTGACTACTATAGACTAGTAGATATACTTAGGGTTCTCTAAGCCAACATTCAGTTGGCTGTTTCTGGTTTTAGATAACTTGTACTCTGTCTTATTAAATAAGCATTGTTTTCTTTTTAGTTGCTAGAATGATAGCATCTTGAAGCATCCTAATTTTGGTGTAGAAAGGAAATGCTATATTTTTTTCTGGTCAAACGTGAAAAAGTTTGTAAAATAAATGTATATCACAGCACAACTGTAAACCATGGTAAAAGCAGCTCTGAGATTTAGAATTTCATGAACATTTAAATATCTTTTAAAGAGGCACAATTTGCAGCAATGATAATTCAAGAAATATCATATTAAATAAAGTACAACCTGCAAATTGATAGGTAGACCAAAACAACTTTAACTAACTTGCTCTTAATACTGTGAAAAGCCGAGGACAAACCACCATGATCATTTGCTGAGATGTATGTACTGTAGTGTGTATGCAGAACTACATGCTCTGGTTATTGACAAACTCCTTTGCGGATATATAATGAACCACCATGTACGATAAACATTAAAAAGAGAAAATAACTTGGCAAAAATGCAAGTCTGTTTGGGGTAAAGCCATTTTGTCCACAAGGGATACGACTGTGGAGAGCATCCATCCCAAATCTTTCCAATCACTATAACCTTGAGAGTAAAGACTCTAGGAGAATATTTTTGGAGACTCCCTGCCAGGTGCTAACATTAATTAGATGGTACAGTATAAAGTCACAAGTCTAAACAGATCCTTTTGTTAACACGCTGTTATGCCTAGCTGGCAATTAAAGGAAGGAAGTCCCAAAGAAATCAATTAACTTTTATAGAAGTTAACAGATCCCCTGGTTTGCTCCAGTTTAAAGACTATGATAAATAACACTCTATTCTGATGAGAAACTGCCTAAGTTTTCTTTTCACTATGGGGTTATATATTTAATATAAAACACCATGTAACTGCATCCTGTAAAACAAAGATCATACAGTAGAAGCAACAATAATTTGTATTTGCATGGGTATAGAAACCAATAAAATCCAAGTCTCTCTGAAACCAACATTGTGATAAATCCTGAGAGAGACAAGCCATGCTCAAGAATATTTGTACATTTGACATACAAATCATTATTGAGTAATGAAAATTGAAATTTGTCAAGCAGTCTTTGCAATGTGTAGTTCAGGTCTGCCATCTTATAAGGCTCTCTACAAGCAGCCCTCCAGCAATACATATAGTGCCCCAATAATGTATTTAGGAAATGCCTTAAATTTGTGTCTGTTAGAAGAAACTTATTACAGGGAAAATAATTGTGTTGCCAATGTATAGAAAGAATACACTTGTTCTGCATTACAACCTAAAGCTAGAAGCTTATGTTATACCTTACCAAAGCAGTAGGAAGATTAGTTTATTAAATGCATTAGATATCAATTTTATTATAATTTATTAATATGTATTATCCCAAACACATACAAGTAAATTATAGCACACAGACTAGACAGACCTGTGGCATTCAACGTGTAAACATAACTGACCTGTCCATTTCCTGCACAAACTCTCATAACTCACATATCTTGCTTAAGCTGTTTCTTGTTAAAAAATTTTAGTTAAGAAGATACAAGTTTCAAATGTTTTTTCTTAATAACATATAACACAATACTTTTCATTTTATATATTTTAAAGGAAGTAATTGGGGAAAAGCATACCTTTATTTGCAGTTTTAACTTAGACTAGAGAATGTCAAACTCTTACAATGTATCTACATGAAGAACTTCGTAACGCTGAGTACATGCTTCACGTAGGGGTGTAAAGTGTTTTGGAGGGAGAAGTATGTAATCTTTTCTAACACTACACCAGCTAGAAGCAGATCATCAGACATACAGGGTGGAAAATTGCAGTCACTCAGCAATTTTTGGGAAGGTGGAAATCCAGCTACTGTTTATTTTTCAAATTCAAATTGAGCTAGTTCATTGGCATTAGGGTAAAGCACACCTCACCATTCATGAAAGAGACCTTCACTGTGGCAGTAATCAAACATGATGACCATGATTTAATGGCCATATTATGTTGACTTAATAATTATATTTACACACAAGAATTTTTTTTTAGCCGTCATTCTGACCATGCACATTTGTCACACAAAAACTAATATTATGTTTGATCTTCCTTTTCACTGTTTAAGGAGACATGCTCCAAACCAGCCATCATATAGGTTTGATATGTGTTTTTACAGCCAAAAGTGCCATTATTATTTACATAACTCTACCCATTTTTGATTGTAATAAAAACACTGTTAACATGTACACAGCATGTTTTACTATTATTGTTTATGTATGGTGTTGTATGCTTAATTTGAGGCTAGAAATAGCTCATCACCAGGAGAGATAGAGTGTGTCCCAGACATGTGTGCTTGATTCTGGAATAAAGAATGGGATGGTCCAGTGATAGAGTATATGCAAACATCTTCATGACTTTAAACAAAATGAAGAAATGGGTTTTTGTCTGCTGTAGAAAAGCTCATCTATATTATGGGGAGGAAATGAGCTGCAATCTCAAAGCAGTCAGTCGACAGGCACACTTGCATGCTCACACACACAATTTCTGTTGAAATATAATGTACATTCAGCTGTGTTTCCTGATCACTGTGGCATCTCTTTACTATTTACTGCAGTCTTCCAAACTTGGCTGCAAGGGCCAGACAGGACTGTGCTGCTGAGGTTCTACCAAATGTATCCTCCGTCATCTGCCTCTCCTGTCTCACCCTCTTCTTCTTCAGCCTCTTCCCCAGCATCTTCTGTCTCTTTCTCTTCTTCATCTTCCCAACCAACACCACTGCCAAAATCCCCGGAGAACCCAACCACATCATCTGTTACACAAAGACAACAAGATTATGTTTTCATCAAGTATTGAGCTTGTAGGTTACAGATTCATATGTGGGCAGGTTTGCAGCTTTTACGCAGACGGTAGCAGTGCCAGAGGTCCTGACTATAACTTGGACTTGAAATGCTTTAGGTTAATAATCCATTTTTGTAGGGGAAAACTGTAGTCACTTGTCTGAGAATAATTATTACCAGCAAAATGAATGCAAATGTCACCAATTTGCGCATTAAGATGAGTGGAGTGCATAGTTTAACAACAAAGCAATGCTCTAGAGCAGGGGTCATTAAATGGTGGATCATGGTTGGGACACAGACTGTGGGATGCTTCTGTCTGGACTGTGATCCTGCACCTGTGCTAGGCTATCGTTGCTTGGTTATCAGTAGATACGCCAGCCTTGGAGACTCTCCAAGGCTAGCACATCTACTGCCAGCTAGCCAGTCAGGCATAGCCCAGTGCAGTCAATGGTTGCTAGGACTGCCTAGTCCTAACAACCAATGACATCACATACCCCCACCCCTCTGCAGCCATTGTTTGCAGGGACCACCATCCGAGTGCTCCCTTACATTAATTGTCCCTATCCGAGTGCCTCCGTACATTAGTAACTTATGTAATGGGGCACTCTGATGGAGCAACCAATGTAAGGGGGGAACTCTTATTGGGGCAACTATAGTATATACTGCTAATACAGTGCAGACAATACATTTACAATTATACTAACATGAATGTATTAAATGATCTGTATGTAGCCCTGTACTATGGATCATTTAACCCATTCATGTTAGCAGAGGATCATTGTAAATGTATTGTTGCAGGCACTCTATATGTACATGTACTATATACTACATATAGAATGCACTGAACAATAGATTTACAATTATCCTCTGCTAATATGAATGGGTTAAATGATCCGTAGTACATGATATGTAGCCCTGTACCCCCTTTTCCACTTACAGAGCTAGGTTATTGTTTTTCGTTTAAATAAATATTCATGTAATTTTATTGGTATCTATCTTAATTTTGTACATTTACCAGTAGCTGCCTCATTTCCCACCCTCGGCTTATATTCGGGTCAATACTTTTTCCCAGTTTTTTGTGGTAAAATTAGGTACCTCGGCTTATATTCGGGATGGCTTATACTCGAGTATATACGGTAGTTGTCCATATCACAGTGCCCCTTTACATTGGTTGCTCCCATGAGAGTGCCCCCTTACATTGGTTGACCCCATCAGAGTGGCCCCTTACATTAGTAATTAATGTAAGGGGCCACTCTGATGGAGATACCTAATGTAAGGGGCACTGGGTCATAGCACAAACATGAGTTTCAGTCTTTAGCTGGAAGAAAATTTTGCTGACTGAACCTCCTTGAATATGAACTCAGTACCCCTGCTTTGGAGAACATGCTGATACTTTGTGACTATTTGCAAAACACTCTGTTTAACCACCCATTCCCCTTTCTGTGAAGAAAAAGGTATAAAACATTGCCTGCATTCCTTCGGTATCCAGTCAATGGCTGATACAGGAAAGATGGTAGTAAGTGTTGAGAGCATATGACTCAAGTGAAGATGGGCAGAGCTCTTACTATCCATTATCATTTTCACTGAAAGATCCATGCATCAATGTAACAGCACCAAGTTTTACAGTTGATTCTGATAAAGGGGGCTTGCCCCTGAAAAGCGTCAATCTTGGCTGACTGTGGTCGGTGGACGGCGATGTGACTGGAGGCTACCGTGTTACATAGTCGGGGGGATACCATGTTGGGTTAACAGACAGTGTGGCCTCTCGTTTGTTGTTAAAGCCTGATAAAAACATTTGTTTGTGAGTACCTTTATCCCTTGTTTTTTTTATTGTAATAAACGATTTTACACACGGAGGTGGTGCTCTGTTCCCTTTTGTTTTCTATGTCCGTGGTGGAAGCCCCAGAGCCTTGAATGCGCAGCCCCTCAAGTCTGTGTGACAAACTGTGATAAACTGTTGAAAACCTTGAGTGTGCAACAGCAAGTGGATTGATCAGCTGGCAGCCATTAGCGCCAAGAGCTAAAGAAAACTTTTTGCCCAAGTTTTACATCTGTTTAGATTATATCTGTTGATGGTACATTTTTATGAGGAATATATCACAGCACATTTAAATGTAGTGAAAGCCCTAACTGAACCCATTTCTCTTACTCTTTTGAGAAAGTATGCAACAACTAATGTATTTCTCCTTGTAAAGTGCAGCAGACCTTGCTCAAAGTGTTCTGTTTAGCATGCTACAAGAATGAATATAACAATAATGAAATGACCAAGAGCAATACACATATTGGTGTTTCAAAACAGGGTATGATGTGCTCAAGGATTTTCTTTCTGTGCAGTGAAGGTTATCTTGTATTGCTGCATTTAGGTACAGCAGTAAGTTATAATAACCAGACATTTGTGCTACCATCCAATTTGCTGGACAGATAAAATCTAACTGCTGCTTGGGTGGTGTGGGAGTTCTTTCCCAGAAGCCCCATTATCCAGAGGTTGCAGTAAATCATAGTAATAATAATGCGGCTAATAATGCCTTCCCCCCATGCCATGGGATTGATTTACTAAAGAAATAGTGAGTGTTCACTTAGGGGTCTATATATAACAAATTCGCTGTACAAATGTTGAAACATTTGCAAAAAGTCACAAACAACAACCTTGCAAATCTATTTAATATGTGCAAAATGTTAAGATGAAGCTGTGCTCATTTCACTCTAACAATCATGTGCTAGCACACATCCTTTTTTTTATTTTTTTTATTTCTCCTTTGGGATTTCAGGTACACTATATTTATAATCAATTATTTTGCAAATTGATAATATCCTTTTTTAAAATGAACATTCACATTTCCAAATGAAAAGCCTTTACACCTTTAGGGCCAGTTCACACCATATCCAGTGCATTCCGGCACGGTTCATATTTTCTGCGAATGCTGCATTGCTGTTCCACGCGTTCTGGTGTGGGCGATCGCCATGCGGGCCTTCTCCCGTCCTAGAACGCGGGAGGCTTGGTTTATGCGATCCAGTGCGTCCCAGGCACAAACCGTGCCGGAACGCACTAGATATGGTGTGGGCCGGCCCTTAGTGCATCAACCATATAATTTTATACTACTGTCCTTTTGAAATTCATTGTAGGACAGTACGGTGACTAAGTGATTAGCATTCTTGCCGTGCATGGCTCACATCTGATTCCCACTGAGGGCACTATCTGCATATCAGCACACTGTAAGGCTAGCCATACATCTTAAGATTTGAGAAATCACTTGATTTCACCTTACACATGGATGGGGTAACCTTCTCTGCCAGCTATTCAGAATACCCGAACAATGACTGTATCAAATTGGCTGTTCAGTCAACAATTTTCTGCCTGGCTCCTTTGATTTTCAGATGGAAGTTTGTTAAGCCAGGTGGTGAATATGGGTTACCAATGAATCGAACTAGTATTATCATACCAGATCCCGGTTGAGTTTGACCAGCCTTTGGAGCGATCATACTAATTCTCCCTGCTGCTTTAAAAGATCCAGCACCCCACACTATTCTTTTGCTTGCTTGAGTTGTCCACCCAGTGATATAGCTGCAATGTGCAAAAGCTGCATTACGATTCACATGGAACTTTGTTCCACCTGAAATCCAAACTTTCTCATCAATATACTGTATATCTAAATATAATTGTTGGCAAAACGTACCACAGTCTGGGTTTCCATGTATCCTTGTGCCAGTTAACTCCGATCCATGCTGATCCACACACCAGCACTCACCACTGGCCTGATCACACTGCATCTTTCTGTAGTAGCCATCTTCATCACAGCTGGGAATAAAGACCCCTACAAGATATGTAGATAGTGTAAGCATAATTTGTAGGAGATTGTCAAGAATAAGCATAATAGAAAAATATGCACATATCAGTGCCCCCATATTCTCTACACTGTACTACTAGGGCAGGATCAGATTACAGGAAGCCTCTCACTGACTGTGTGCTTCACTGGTTCATTTCAAGTGAAATGGTGAAACTAGAAATGTAGGAAATTTCCATTGTAGATTTGATTTTTTTAAGTGCAGGCCCCCGAGTTGTCATTCTAATCCTGGCTTCACTAACTAGTTACTGGCCTGGAACAAGCATGCAGCCACTGGAGTCTAAAAAGTTGTGAATATTTGTTCCAGGTCCGTGAAGGGGTCACCAGGAATGGAAACCAAAATTAGAATGAAAGCCAAAGAGTCTGCACTTTTAAAAACCAAATCAATAATGGCAACTCATATTTATATCCCCGTAGACTGTTCAATGCCAGATAGTGTATTGATCATAAATCATGCTGAGTGTCTCTGTTATAGCACAGATGGTATACAGCCCCTTAGGCAGATAATACTTACATTTCTTGTTTGTACACATGCTCAGTACAGAAACACCAAGCTTGATCTTGAATTATAACACTGATGCCACACAGGTTAAAGACACTACATGAAGACAATTCTTTGATTCTTTTCCATGACCTTGGTAAGAAAACTACCATAGAGGTGCCAAGATAAACTGCCTAGCACTGTTTTTTTACCTTAGGGGGTGGGGGGTTGCTGAATTGTTTACTGAAATTACAGATACCTCTTTGGGCCTATTCACACAATGCCATTTTTGCGTGCTTCATTAATACACAATGTTGACACATAACGCCTTTTGAATAGATTTGAAGGTTTGTTTAGGTTGTTTATTTGAGTGGAAATGTCAGATACAGCCAATGCGTTTCGGGGGAATGAGACTTCCCTCTCCTCACTGCTTGAACAACAATAAGTAGTGAGTTCAGAGAGCTGTACATTACAGCCTGAAATAGGGCTAGATGATCGCTGAAAGCCAGCTTGGAGATATGAACACAGAACAAGGTGAAACCCTGCAAATCTAGGAACAATTGCATTATGCCTATAAGCCCAAGAGAAGCTGTTTCTTTTATTCGGATCATATAAAATGACAAAAATAAAGTCAGCCTTTTAAAAGGAAGGAGTGGCCGAAGAGAGACTCATGCAGCGCAAACTACATCCAGGAAGTGAAGGGAAAATTCTTTCTGTTGCATTGGAGCTGGACATAGAGATGGAAGAGCTGCACTGGCTGAGGTGAAAGGCTGCAACCCCCTCAGGAAGGTGCTCTAGGTCTTAGCACCAATTTGTCCATGTGTAAAAATGTAAAAGGGTCTTTACAGGACTAGGTTGCCAGCTCAGACACACGCATGGTAAAGACACCTTGAATGGAACTTTGTGCGTATGGGTGAATAGGAAAATATTTCTAAAAGGAATATATCTATTTCAGCATCATTGGTTGGTAAGACCCTGTTGGCCCCACAGCATCATTGGTTGTTATGGTGCACCTGCCTGCATCCTAGCAACCAAGAAGCTGTGCAGCCCAGCTGCTAGCATAATGGCATCATTGGTTCACTCAAACACAAATGGCAGTGAGTTTAGTTTGCATGGTCATGCGCCAAACCCAGATTTCTGTCTGGGTTTGGCAAACGTCCAAGCGAACTGAACCCAGGCACATTTGACTGATCACTACTCCTGTGTCTTTTAGTCAACAATAAAAAAACAGTTTGGTAGTATATAGATTAGTTTAGTACTGTTACAAAAAAGACAATTTGCAGAATAAAATATGTATTATAAGATACTTTAGTTCTCAGATGGAAGAACAACTTTAGGTTGTGGTTATGTCAAAATAGAACTGTCTCTGTTTTAACATGTTCAAAATGACTAAATCACACTAGCTTAATCACATTGCAAACCCCCTCCCCCCCCACACACACACACTTCGCCTTTCCATTTCGTTCTGTTTTCCAAGGACCAAATGGCTACCCATCAGCTGTTATATCTGCACCCCGCGCCAGCCTGGTCATTTCAACTTGGGAGGTGTGCTTTAACATCTTTGACTTGGGTGTCAGATAACCTTGTCCCATCACTGGTCCTAGGAGTGCTACAGAGTAGTAAAGCTAAATGGCAAGGTTGTTTATGACCTTTGTAAACTCACCAGGTTTTTTCTTAGCAGCCTCTTGGATCTGCACTTTCTCAAGTTCTGCAAGACATGGAGGCTCTGAAAACAGAGACACAGATGGAGCCAAGAATCAATACCTTTACATCGGATAACAGGATGGTGTAAGTGAGAGCACCATAGTAGTATTTACATATGAGGGATGTTCATGTCCACTATGCTCTTGTTTAGGCATGAATCCACCAACAAGACGTAACACCATAAATGATCACATTATCTCTATTAAGAAAGGACAACTGAAGAAAAAGAGTAGATATCTTCTTGCACATTAAGTGTAAATCACCAATTTACCTGATTTATGGATTAATTTGCTCTGCACCGGAAGTTATGATTAAAAAATGTAAGTGGTAACCTATTTCAGTTCTCTTTATTTGTTTACTACATGGATAATTTATAGCAGAATCCAGTTTCACTTTTTCAGTAGAATTTATTTATGTACAAATAACTTACAAATATACTGTATATATTAATTTCATCAGTTCTTCTAAGCATTGATGTACTTAAGAATTGCAGTGATGTAATAACCCATCTACTTACTTTCTCTCCAGAAACAGAAGCACCACTCAGCAGTGGACACCCGCCCATCCTTGTAAGTGTCACAGGAGTTAAAGAAGGGCCGGATGCAGATTTCATACTTGTCAAGGTTGATGGCTGCCAGCTCAGCTTGGTCCAAAAAGAGGTCATTGTTGGAGTCCAACTTGGAGAACATCCATCCTATTGAGTCTTTGCAGCTGGCCACTAAGGTCTTGTCTAACACTGTATAAAGAACATCCGTAGTTACTAGCATTTCCTAAACAACATGCGTGACCATTCCAATTCTTATTATAAAATAAATTGTAAGTCTTTCAAAGAAGTGATTTTATAAGAAGCTTATATTTATGTTTGTTTTGTCCCGACTTGGAAATGCATTTATAAGTTTTATTTTAGTCACTCTGGGTTTGGTAAAGGTTAAAGCTCTTATTTTCTTCTTCTCTGATGCCATCTTCTTTGTTATCAACTTGGAAGTGATTCTTGGCTATTCATTTTCCACCAGCTGCACTGTACCATCCACTCTAGACAGGGAACATTTTACATCAGCCTGCCTAATACATATGTTTATGAGTAAGTCAGAACTCAAACCTCTTAAATGGATCCTTATTTTGGTGACAGGTGCATTTATATGTTAATTCATTGAGCTAGTGGTGGCAGAAACAGTTTTGAAGTAAAGATAATACCAGTTGTGTTTTTTTCAGTTGTAGTTACACATATTATATTTTTAGCATACACCTGCCATGAGAGAAATATGGGAATACCATTCCTGACTTCCTTCTGTAAATGCTAGGTGCCTGGCTGTGTCTAGCTTCTATACCTCTGAATCAGAAATTGCATAAAGCAAATCAGAAAAATCCTAATTCCTTATTTGTCCACTTGTTCTATGTCAGCGACTCAAAGTATCAGCTAGACTGTCAGGCAACCAAGGTCTCAGCAGGTGAGGTCAGCAAGAGCAGCCTGCATATTTGACATGTTCTCTTTAAACTAAACTATGAACCTTGTATATGTTTAATCCCTTATATAATCTATAGTCTGGGAGAATGGTTTGGAAATGAGAGAGCCCTACAATAGACTCTTTGACAAACAGGGATCAGACCAAAAATAGTCTGAAAACGTAATAAACAGTTTAATTATAAATAAAACAGATTTCCAACGTGTACTGTGTACAATCCGATACACTTGCAGGGAATCAAAATTTATTCTAGGTTTAGCTACTCGTGCTGTAATGAGCATTCATTCTGATTAATCACGCCAGGCAAATCCACTTATACTAAGATCTGATACAAAAGAGGGCTATTTTATTTCCAGTACATTACCTTGTGCTTAAGGTAAGAGGGGTCAAATAAGTAGACAGATTACATAAAATAAAACAACAGAGTACTCATTGTCCTGTTTATTTACTGAACAGCCCAAATTTGCACAAGATTATCATATTTCTTGGGCTTAGCAGTGCTGCTGACACTTGCCGAGTCTCACAACATCTGTGAAATGCCACATTTTGATAGAGCAGACGTGTGCTTAATTTCTGGTCAGCCCCATGTCATACTGTTTATCAACATCACTCAGTGGTACTATTGTCCGTATGTCATGCCAAGAGATTCCGATAATTAACTTCTAAAATGTTTTGCTTTACTAACGAGGTGCTAATTAAGCAATGAATCATTTCTCCAAAGTACTGATCAAGCTCTTTTGGAATGTGAAGTACTCCAATAAATTATTGGCCCATGTTTCTTTCAAACTGCTCCTAGATTCATGACCAGATGCTTCATCTGAATCTTTGGATTCGTGTTACACGTGTCTGCTCCATGTTCGTTAATGGAGACTGGAACACTGTATTATTGTCTTTATGAAGACATAAAGACTATATATCATATTCTTCCAAGGAACTGGGATAATCACTTGGCTGGTATTACATGGAAGGCATTTGTGAGTGTAATTTCCATGCACTTGGTGACTCAAATAGAACTTTATACCACTGAGTTAAAATAACTTTGCTGTTATATGGTGGATGTATGAAGCATTCACTGGTATCAAAGTAACATTGTAGTATTACGTGTGTATTTCAGTACTTGTGCCATTTCTCAGTACATAATGGCATTTGCATATATGCACAATCTATAGAACATGAAAAATACCTTGAATGCTCATACTTGAGGTAGAGTGTACACTATTCTACCGATTTCAGAAATTCCGAAGAATCAAGATTTACCCAATTTGCTGTGAACTGAAGATACATACACTCACTGCTTGTTCTGATATACTGAAAAAACTGTATTGATGAACAAATTCATCTTCAAGTATTCTGTGATTTGTATATAAATGGAGTTCTTACAACTTTTATTTTAAATTTACTTTAAGTAATTGTACTTAGTAATTGCTTTACATACAATTTATCATTTGCAGCTGAATTCTGGGGAAACCGCAAAATACACATTTGTAAACTGTGTTATCTGCTAAAGGATTTGTAATTGTGTCCAGCCACGTTTTTGAGACATACACATCTGCTTCAAGAGTGACACCACTTTTTCTTTTCGAGATAAAGAACAAGGTGGTGTCACTTCGGTACCTGCAGCCTGCTGATTGAGCAATGAGGAAGTAGCAGCACAGCGATACATCATAAAATCTGCTCTCTTCTCCTGTATGTGTTTCCTGTCAACCCTGTCTCTTCCTCAACCAGTAGTAGTGCTACCATGCAATGGATAACATAGGCTGATATGACACATTCAGATATTGTGTGCAAAAATACATTTACAGCGAGATGTAAACAATTCTCCAATTCAGCTCACTTTCCAGTATTTTGTCCTAGATTGTTCACTTCTCCTAACTCTTCACCCTTTTGTAAATAACCCTCTTAATTCTTTTTTGATTTGAATGCAAAGCTGCATTCAATTGCTTAAAGTTCAGCTTCTTTTATTACATTTTAATGATGTAATATTATTAAACTTTTATTAAACAATTTAAACAGAATTATTCCCTGAACTTGTCAAAAACATCTCAATATGTTCATATACCAATAACTAAGAAGGTATGAAATTGGCCTTTATTTTTATTTGAGTTTATACATAGAAGTTTGACAAGGAGCTCATCTGATGGGAAAGCAGCTGACATACATATAGTCACAGACCATCTTGAAAATTACTTAATATTAAGTGTTCTAGAGCAATTAGAATTTAACAAACAGTTCAGAATGAGTACATTACCATTCACTTGTTTTACTCCTGCAGCTGCTGTACTGTTCTGCTTGGAGTTCTCGTGAAGCAGCTGAAACCAATCCCGTAAACGGTCTCCAAGGTCTGCCAGGTCCTGACCAGTACATGTCTCTCCTAAAAATAAGAACAATATAAATTTTTGGAAGTGAACCAAGTGATCACTTAGAGCTATTCTTCTATGACATCCATTCACTTTGCTTACATTCTACTATCATTGTGTCCCAAATGCAGCTGTCACTAGACAGTCAGTGCAGATTCTGTTTCTGCATTGTCTCTCTGAGAATTTGGGATCCAAGCACTTAGCCCTGATTCACACCTGAGTATTTCATAGCTTGAAGCTCAAAGCTCCAAAATGCTCAATAACCAGAATCCTTTTAAATTATGCCTGTTCACATATAAGTGCTTGAATTCCTTGCAACTACAAAATGTATTAACATAATAAACAGAATGCTTACATTTTACTTAATGGAGGATTAAAAGGAAATCATAGAACTGAGTACTGAATAAGAGCCCCGATATTTCACCAAAGGCCCCCAACAGTATAAAAATAAATAAATAACAAAACGCGCCCCACACACAATCATGCACACATATTGCTAGACATGTGCAAAGACTAAACATTTGTTTCGGACTAAATGAACGGAAACTAAAAATGTTTTCATTAGTTTCGTCCAACAAAACAAATGTTTATGCTATTTTGGATTTGGCCACCAGTGCATTCTGTGCATGCGCATCCTGGTGGCGGGGCGCATGACGTCACATACCGCAAACGTCTGTTGGGGGGCACAATTTTCTGTTCTTGCCTCGGCCGCAAAAGGAGCTGGCTTTGGCTCTGACAGGTATAAAGAGGTTCAGCGTACATATCTGCAGCCAGGCCATTCTGATCAGGCAAAGCTCCTATATTACTAGGTAGTGTCAGATTTTTTTCTGCTCCAGATTTGACAGAACTGTGGTATAAAGTTCTAAAGTTCACTCATTCTATTTAGAATTAATGCATTTGTATAAAGTTATGTTAATTTACTAAAGGAGTTAAAAATCTTCACTTAATAACTGTGTAAATATTCACTTCAATTATCCAGTCATGTGAAATGTAAATCATTCTTTTTTTTAATTCCCAATTATGTGCAGATGAAACAAGTAAACATGAATTAGCTTTTCCTAGTTTGGAAACTGAAGTTAATATTCACATAATTTATTGAGTGAAGATTATCAGCTGCTTTAGTAAATCAACTCAAATGTGTAAGGGTTCAAACCTCCCTCCCTCCATACCAAACCTATTGAAGTGAAGAACATACTGTCTAATCACTCATGGCAATCAACACATACTTTCTGCAGTTTAGTGTGGTCAAACTTTGTTAAATCCTATTGGTTTCTATGGTTTCCTGCACTGTGTTATTTAGATTAAGTAATTAGTCATCAGAGGAAATAGTACTGTGCTGCATGACTCCACATTGTACTTGTTTATGATTGTTTGTAGACCCTTGGGATATGACCTTCTCCTCTAAAATGTTCTTACTTTAATTATGCAGCATAGCCAGGGATGTATATATAACAGAACACAATTAAAAAAAACATGGAAACGTCTGCTTTATTTTACAAAGAACTCAACTTCTTTTTGCAATGTAACTTTTTAAAAGCTGTAATTTATTTCATTATATAAATATGGACAGCTGCATTAGAACTGGATTGTTTAACGTGCTATATTCACATTGAATAACATAGAAATCTCACTGTAATTGGGACCACATAAGGTTGGATACACTTGTTAAAAAAAAAATACACAAGGTTGCATGAAAAAGAGGTGAGCATTTAAACAGATTGTAAAGTGCGCAATTTTACACACTTTATGTGGTATTTTCCATAACAATTGTTATTTTCTAGTAACTGTGAAATATTACATGACAACTTTGTACTTTCATTTTCAACCAGCAGGCGGAGGTTTAGGCTCCCTTCACATGTTTTCCATGCAATCTTTCTCTTCTTTGTTAAAAAAGTCTGCTTACAGAATTTAGTAGCTCATGCAGAAATTATACATACACAACTAAATGAGCCATAGAAGTGTCTCCTCCCCCTCCCTCCTGTTGTGTACAGAGGGCTCCATCTGTTTTTTTGTTTCAGAAAGAGAGAGTCTAAAAGCAAACAGCTCCTACTGTGCTCTGTTTTTAGAAAATCCACAGCACTCTCTGAATCCTGTGTCATAGAAGGCTGTGTATTAAATGTTTATTTGTAAAACAAAGAATTAATATTAATAAAATGCATCACTTTAAAAATGCAGAAATTGAAAAAAAGGAATTTAAACTAACCAAACACCATTTATGTTTCCTTTCATGATTGTGGTTGTTTTGCAAGCATTTTCATCTTCTGCAATGCTAGCCAGTGACATGCATGGTTGTTAATTACATTAGACAGTTTGGTACACAGCAATAAAAGCTTACCCTGTTTGTTGTTGTCTGTAGTGGTGGTGATAGTCTTGGTTGGAGAGTTCTCTGTTGGACATGGACAAGCACCTTGGCACTTTACAGTCAGCTGTTTGCTGCTCAGGCATGCCTGCTGCTCCAGTTTACACTAATAAATGAGAGAAGGAAGATCTGAGTGTTGCTATGCCGAATCCTGACATACAGCTACGCGTATGTCATTGCAGTAACTCTCACATAAGCTAATGCCTGACACCCTTGGCTGTTTCAGAACTAGCAATTTATGCCATCCCCAAATGCTCAGAGCTACAGAATTTTCTATCTGTTGTCAGCATTTTCAGCTGTTCTTAAATACACTGCTAAGAGAAGAGGTAGAGGAAGGATTGTGAAAATGCCAACATGACTTTAGAAGTGGGTTCATTGTGAAAGTGTTGTATAATGGCGACCGGTAAATGGTTTATCTGGTAAAATAGTAAAAATGCTTGTGTACTACATTAGAACACAGGGGGAAGTCAAAGCTCACCCCTCTCTCACTTCCACTATTCTGAACTATATGAGCCCTCTTTTTACAGGTCTACTAGGCTTGCACAGATACATCTTACTAGGTAGAAGCTAGCATAGTGAGCTGCAGTTTGCACTGCACTAACTAGAACATCATTATGTTTATGGCTCTTCTGCTGCACATAGGTGCATACCTAAAATAAAAGCTAGGTCCACCTGCCAACTACTGATATTTTATGCCAAAGCAGATATGTGCTGCTCAGGTGTACAAAGTATTTCTTCTGAATTAAGTGCCCACTTCTAGAAGGACTACAGCTGTGTCTAATGCCTAGAGTGCTTTTTGATTTGTGTTGCTGACCTGCATAGGTACAGTATGTTTGCTGATATACCATACATTTTACAATGTGTATAAAGCCAATATGTAATTCTATGATGGGAGAAATATTTTGGCTGTCATTCCTGACCTTATTCTGAACATGCTGGGTGTGTTGACCCTAAGATATCAATATTATCTGAGTCTTTGGCCCGGGAGAAAAATTCTGGCTTCACTTTGAGTATACTTGCTTCATGCTTGTTACTGGTCAGTATCTCAGTACTCAAACCACAGAACCTGCATAACAGCCTGGCAACTAGCATTGTTGTGAGGAATTCAGCAATAGCAGCCTACACATTTCTCTCATGACAGGTTTCATTTAAAGGCAACCAGTCAGGATAGACATATGGAAGTTGTCACTACTGACTTTTTTTGAAAGGGCATGCTCCAGGGCTTCAATTGAAGTCATGCTCACATCATTGGATGTTCTGTTAGATATACTTTGCTAGTTTGCAGAGTGGTTACTAAGAGTGAAAAGAGGGGGAGAGTGGCTTATAAGAATAATATTTTATCATTCTCCAGGGCTGGTTTCTTTATGATTGATTCATTACTTAGTGATGCATTGCCCTTAGTGATGCATAGCAAGTCCAAACACCTGATATGCACATGTTTGTTCCAGGTCAGTAACACACCAAGTAGTGAAGGAAGGATATGGATGACAGCCACAGAACAATCACCTTCAAAAACAAGTACGCAATGGTAATTTCCCATACAGGTTTCTTTAAATCTGACAGCAGCTCTGTACAATGCAAGCAGTAAAAGTCCTGGACAACTGTGATCTGCTAAGGTAACACCTTATGGGGAGTTCCACTTATTTTTAGTCTTTCACTGAATCAGTCTTAGCCATTATAACAGCAATTACTCCTCACCACAGAGGTGTACGTATGACCATCAGTACCGCACACTGATGCAGGCTGAGTCACATGACAGGGTTTACAGAGGTTGTCTTTGTTCCCATGGAGTTTCAAGCTGGGCTGCTTAATTCTGCAAAGACAAATACAAGAAATTGAAAAATACAAGGAAAAGAAAAAAAATATTTACTATTAATCCAGAATGGCATTTAGATGACTAAAGTCATTCGTTTAACGATTTACTAGCAAAGTGTGCCTGTTACTTGAATGGATAATTTTGAATAGTGTGCTTTATTTAAAGTACAACTAAATTCTCCAGTATGACAGCGTAGAATTTAGTTGCTTTGTGATGCCCAAGCCTCATGAAGTAAATAAACAACTTCCTTTGACTAAGAAAAATTCTTCTTAATTTGTGTCTTACACACTCCCCACCCAAACACTGCTGCTCACAGTGGGAGTGTTGCAGCAACAGAGGCAGTGCTGTCAATCCAGAAAACAACGGGCAGGGCTAGGTGTGGCCAGGTACTGACAACCTACGACAACCTACATGATTGTGAATCAGCAGCTGATAGCTACACACCATGAAACATCTTCTCATCCTGTTGTAGTAAATGCCGGTACAGCAACTCTGCTCAAAATTCAGGAGCAGTGCACAATTGTTGCCACACCATCACAGGAAGCTGCATTGGTGAACTGCAAGGTGGACTTCACTGGATAGCTCAATGGGTATTTGTGGGATTTTGCACATGACTGATAGAAAACTGTGAAAGCAGATGCACTTATAATTAAGTGCTGCAGGAAATATGTTTAATGGGGGAGCATGGTTCTACTTAAATGTAAGTGTCATTAATATGTGGCATATGCGGTGTGTGCTATGATGCAAAAAATGGATGTCACAAACACGGAGCATGTTTTCTCAAGCACAGATGATAAGTTAGCATAAATTAGTATAAGTCTATCTGGAATACAACAAAAAAGCTCCAGTATTATAGTCATGTTAGCACCTGGCTCATCAAAGATGGCTGTATAAATATGGCAACCTCAGTTTTACATTGTCTCCCTCTAGATTTGCCTGTGATTATCTGTGCATGACATGTTGTTTATGGATTGTTTGACCTCTACTAACAGCCTTCATATTTATGAGGACTAAATGTAACCTTGCTGTAAAAGGCTTTTATTATGACCTATTAATAGAATGGGTTAATGCTGCAGGCTTGTCAGAGGGTTGTCCTCATTTCCTATATATTGTAATTAGTCGCCACCTTGCTGACATACAACAAGAAAATCTACATGTGCACTTAAAAGCATTGCATGCAGGAAGGCACAGCCACCGTGGTTTTGTAACAACAATACCACAACAATAGTAAGTGGCATTGTAGAAAAATTGGTCCGCTGTAACAGTGTGTTCCCTGCGTGCTCTGACTGTATTGTATGTCTGTTCTCTGATTATGTGAGTCATGTCTTTGTTTTTGGTATATACATATGGTGTGAGTGTGTGAGTGCCTGCCCTGAGTGTGTATGTTCTTAACACATATCACATGATTACATGTCGGCAAAATATTACAACACACAAAAATGCATGCATTTCTGTAGGGCATCCATTCTCGCAGCTTTTGAGGTCTCAGAAGGTCTGTGTGGTCAGATCTGGAGTCAGATAACCTCAAGTGAAAAGCTGACCCAATTGTCTGGACTGTCATATCACTTTGGTATTGTCTCAATACCAGGTTGCAAATAACAACATGGATGGCTGTTGGCGGCTCATTATGCAGGAATTGTTTTCACACATGTCACTTACTTTGCTCCTTGAGTGGGCAAGGTAGGTAATGCTGTTAGAAATGCATTTTCCAAGGTCCATTTTATTAACTTAAAAACACAAAAAAACCTTGTAAATGTTTCCATTAAATGCCTTACTTTGTATTTATTTATTTTTTGCTTTGTTGTGATGTCATCATCTCACTCTATAAAGTGTACGGTGCCAGGGGGCAGGATCTGGGAAAGCTGTTTGGCAGGTGGATGGCGGTTGGTGAACAGAGGTGCAGTGAAGACATATTGTAAAGCTGCCAATCAATAGCTCTGGGCAGGTTGCAACGGTGGCAGTAAGCACATCACTGCTCTCTCTCTCTGTACTACACAGAGGGAGAAACATGACCAGGAGCTATTTCACCACAGAGAAAAAATAGTGGCCCCCAGTCGCACAAAGCGGAAATGTCCCTAATTGTGGAGCTTTAGGGACAAGGGTAGGAATGATAACATAAATGCATGTTAACAAGAAATCAAGATCTTTTTCTGATACAGGTAAACAAGCGACTTTCTAATATTACTATGTGCTTTCTGGTTGGAGTTCAACTTTAAACTTAATAAAGTAGACCAAAGTTTATAATATTTAGTAAGTTTTATTAACATATATGAATATGTTTACTACTCACCTGTGTTCCAACTTCTTGCGACTTATACACATAGCTTTTTGGTAGCCATGAGCTATGCAAACCTTATGCCGACTGCATTTCACTTTTTGGCAAGGGTCCTTCGTGGTATCCAGGGCTGGGATATAGAAAACACTGGTTTAATAATATAAAAGCAATAACCACATACTTCACAATGGCTTTATATATACTAATGTGGAACAGTGGATTATTTCTAAAAGTAGTACTTTACCTTGTACAATACTCTACTACTGTAATACTAATACTGAAATGAACCATGCATGACGAAGGGATCTAAGAAATTCCCAAATATTGCATTTTTAATACCTTAGGTTATCCAATAAAGGGTATCACCTAAAGTTCATTTACCGGTAACTCCATTTTTAACTCCGAATTATTCTAAAAGTAAATCCAATAGCCTGTTCTGAAATGTAAAATTACCTCTCATATTACATGTACATTGTAATTGGAATTAATGAACATTAATTCCTTCTGCAGCAGATTTTACAGGTTTTATTAATGAATATGCATATTTAATTGATTTCGGAACAGGCTACATGATTCTATTCCCCCATGATGGTTAATGTATTGGCAGAAATCTACAAACTGCTACAAAATACAATTTATGTGTAGATTTGTTATTTCCCTTGAGTTCATTGAGCTTTAGACTTTAAATGGTCTGCTTCATCTGTGGACCATATATACACCGTAGTACACGTTCATATTATTTTATACATGCTGTAAAACCATTGTTGAATCTGCTTTTTTCTATATGTGATTATGTGCAATGTGTATTATTTGCAATTATTTTAAAGCTCTGCAAACAGTAAAATGGCAACATACGAAGATGTAAAACAGATATGAAAATGGCAAAATGTGTGTCAGTGTTATCAAGATATATTATACCTAATAAAATAAATACATTCTAGGGAAAAAATGCTCACTTATTCCTCTTTCGGGATGACAATAATCTCACTTTTAGCCAATCAAGTTGTCTTGTACCAGAATATAAGACCAACCCTGGATTAAATTATGTATTCACCATGGTGAGATTACTTTTTTGGCTTCTGGCCTGTTAGTTTAGGAGCTCAGCTACAGCATCAAATCATTGTTTAAAGTTGTGCAAAATTTGTAAACAGAGAAAATGCTATGAGACTACTGAGTGAATAAAAATCCTATTCCTTTCTTACCCACATTCCCCTACGCCCCCAATCCACTGTGAGAGTCCCCAGGAACTTTCCGGAAAGTTAAACGTTACAGAGGGCTATGCATGCCCCCTGCCCTCCTACCATACCGCTTAACTGGCCCTCATTTGGAGGGACTTTCCCTCATTTTGAAACAAATCTCTCTGTCCCACTTTTTGGTGTGATGTACAGATATCTGCCTATGGTGGTATCTGCCTACGGTGGAACCTGAACATTTGGTAACATGTAGTAGTGATCAATCAGACATAATATGAGCATTATGCAAGATTTATGTATGTTTCGTAATACTAGATTGCACCACAGGGAGCCATTTGTTCCATTTCTTTAATGATTGACTTCTACTTTTAATCACAATAGTCTATCTAAACTCTACAAAAATGTGATATATTAAAGCTTACCAGTTTATAGATCTGGTTGCTGCATTATTTTTCTTTTTTCCTTCATATTTACCTGGTTATCCTGCCAGTAACACACTCCCTCTCCAAGGGTGACAAAAACTCACTCATTTTACTTTATGTATAGAGTGTTATCACCCTAGGACAAGTAGTGTGTTAAGAATACTGAACACCTCCACCTCTCCTCTTCTCCATAACATAGGGGGATATGTACTGTTGTCCACAGAGATTGCTGAAAGACTTTCACTACGAATTGAAACAAGTTTATTGACCTTTAGAGTAATCTACAAAAAATCCTGTTACTGTACATATGAATAATGATGCTGGGATTAAGGAGGATGGGCATCAGGGCTAAGCAGGTGCTTGTGGTACAAGGACCCTTTATGGGTTACTATGTGTATAGCTTATAACCTTTCAAAACCTTATCTCAGTGGATGAGCTCTTTAGTCAAAGGAACAAGTGCACAATACTTTTTCATGGTTTATTAGATCTTGTTGTCTTTAATCATCTTCTGAAAAGGCTCATTCCAAAATAATATGAGTTTGGAGTGGCCTCCCAGAGCTGTTTGTTTAGCAAAGACTCGGCAATTGAACACAATTTAAACAAAGCAGAGCTGCCTTTCTGTATTAGCAGTTCTTCACCAGGCACACATCCTGTGCTGTGAAATACTAATTAGTCCTTTAGATAATGACTGATGCCTGACGTTTGTGTTCATACCCAAATGGCTAGACCTGCATCCCTGTCCCTTCTCTGTCCTGCTCTGCTATTTAGAGATTACATTTATGAGGATGCTATTTACAGTATGCTAATAAAAATGATGCCGGGCAGACATAATCAACATTAATTAGGGAAGCATAAAAGACTTTATATTTTACTTGACAGATACCTGACGTTGTCAACCACAAAGCAATCTACGTTGAGCATGCCATGCTGTTATGCCTGCCAGGAAAACTCCATACTTTTTGTATCACCAGGGAGAAAATGTTTCCTTACTGATCTGTAGATTTTTTTTTTTTAATGTAGGTTGACAGTGCAACAAATGGAAGTTGTCCCTTGACAGGCATCTCCATGGAACAAATACCAAGAGTACTTCCTTCCTTGCTTTGTGTGGTCAGGCAGCTTAGACAACCAATCGTAAAACATGTGGCTAGGAGAACATAGGACAGAGGAACCTATAAATTATGGGAGGCTATGGCATTGTTTCCACAAGCAAATCAACTGAAAGCAAAAATTTACATTTAAAAGTGGACACATTTAGCAATAGTTTATTTTATACAGTTTAATGCCTCTTCCAAATTTGGTTTTAATACCAATTATTGGTACAAGGGGCTCATTGCATATACAACATGTAAGTTTAGCTATACCCAAGGTCACATCTGCACTCAATAAGCAATTGCACACAAGCTACTGGACAGATTGCAGCCCATTAGTGTGTGCAAATTTAAGCTAAATAGTTAATAAGATTTGTCACCTGAATTTCCAAAGTTATCCTCCACAGCCATTACTCATTCAGCTTTAAACTGAAGTGTTATCAGCTCCCAGAATGCACCACAAGAACACGTACAATAATTGAACATTTTATTAGCTCTGATGGAAACTGATTCAGGCAATGACTCACAGCCAAAATTGCCAAAGCTACATAAATGATGACTACTTTCCACTACATAGTGTGCACTTAGATTTGAGAATCAAACATGATAAGAAAAAAAGTGAAATGAAAGCTAAACTCCAGGCATTCAAATAGTAATTAAATCTATTTTTACATGTTCTAGATCAATCACTAAAAATATTGAAGTAAAAGCGTCAGCATGACAGCCAGGCAACCAGTATTTGCAGAATGATAAGTTAGCAAAGCAGTTGCAATGCTCCTCTTTAAGGGACACCTCCTAGACTCCAATTATGCAAATGCAATCAACACATGGTTTTGACTAACATATTATGTGGATTGGAGGAACATTCACCATATTTATTCCCAGATAATTTTTGTACAAGTCATTCTGAATTGAGAAAGCTGTTTGGATGACCAGTGAAACATCTTCAAGAAAACAAATACAGCAAGTCCAGTTGCCTTGACCTATTTTTTACAGATATCTTTAAGGAACAGTTTTTTTAAGAGCTCATTCACACCAGCAACTGTGCTACACCACATGGCTGCTGGTGTGAATGGGCAATGTGATGCCGGTGTGAAACACAATGCAGTTGTATCATACCTCACTGTGCTGAAAAAAAAGTACTAAATGGCGTATTTTTTCTGAGCGCACCCAATCGCAATGCAGTGGTATGAACTCCCACCCGGGTACAAGGCAAATTGCTTGTGTTGTATGCCTTGTGTTGCATCTATGCTAGCGAAAATGGCCAGCACAGCCCCAACACATTGGGCGTGAGCCGGCCCTTAAGGTGGACCTATGCTGAAAGGTTTGTCTGCCTAACATGTATTGCTTAACACTTACTTACATTAAATTACAATTAACAATTGATTACATTGCCTAATGTGACAAAGCTATATATTAGAAAATGTATCTTTTATAATGTATAATTTCTCATTAGCAGCAGCAGAGCACACCCTTCCTCTGTTTAAGCTAAAGCCCCTATGCATGGTTTGGTAAGAATTGGCCAGCATCAAGACAATACATAAATGTTGTTTCTGCCTGTTCTACCTTTCTTGTCCCTGGAAAAGGGACTCACAAGAAAGGGCCAACAAGGAATAAAGGGAGATTAAAATGAGTCTCTCTGGCCCCTAGAAAATCTAATTATGTCCCCTTTGCCGCTTTGCCGCATCCTTCCCAGCTACCAATTTTTTCTAGTTTGCATTGCCATCCCCGTTTGTTCTACTTGGGCAGGGACAGCCTTACAAGGAAAAAAAGAAATTAGAAAATTATGAAAAAGTAAACCTGTAAATCATTTTTAACAAACTTGAAAATACATAAACAAAAAGGGATGGTGGGTAGAAATACAAAATCTGGAGCAGTTGCCCATGGCAACCAATCAGATTCTTTCAGTTTGTTCACTTAAAATTTGAAAATGAAAGATAGAAGCTGATAATGGGACACTGGTGAGGTGAAAAAAAACAGCTCCCCAGAGCCACTGCTCATGCCACTAACAGAAGGAGATTATTGAGGAGGGATTGCAGCACAATGAGCTCAAACAAAGTTGGGCTCAGACTGCCAGACTTGGGGGTAGTCATAGTTTAGCTTTTTTTTGCAGCTCCAGATGGAAGCTGATGCTCGCTGTCCCCCCACTACCACTTCCAGTGCGTCATTGCTCTCCAACTTCTGCCCCTCCTTTAGGGATTTTCTGCTGTCCCCTCCTTGTTACCCAAGTGAAGACACATCATCTCCATAATGCTCAATGGGAACAAGCTGCTGGCCCTTCAAAGGATGCTGCTTTTGCTGTCCTCTGTCTGAAGAGTGGCCTCCTCAAGTGCAATGGCAAACCCTATCCTCTCTTGCTCTGCTCTTTTAATCATTTTGTCAGTGCCAGTCCTCCTTCTGAAAACAAAAAGGAAAAATATACATGGCTACAAATGCAACAAGGCAAAACCCAAACAATCGTGTCTTCTCCAAATGTACAAATTGTGAAGGGGGCTGGTGGGATATAGATATTGGGAGATTAAGATAGATAGATAGATAGATAGATAGATAGATAGATAGATAGATAGATAGATAGATAGAATCTCCCTGAAACCTCTGCTTCTGGCTGCTTTTGCAGAGTTCTCAAACAATTCTGCTGGATCCAGTTGTGCCCACTTTGAAGGGTTCTAAGGATTCTGGTGGGATTAGTAGAGGAGGAGGAATAGGGTGTTTCAGAAATGCCAGCTTTTTTTCTGACCAGAAAATGATAGTATTTTGGGGCTATTACTTCTGCCAATAAAGTCACTTGAAAAAGTGCTTTTCTTTTACTGAACTGATATCAATCAACTGAAAGTAGATTGGGGGTGGTGCTGCTGTCTGTAATTCCTCAGCCAAAGTACGCTATATTGCTGAAGTACACTGTGACCGAGAATGTCCTTTAAAACCATGCTGTTTCTGAAATAAAATGTTCGGCTTTAAGGCATCCTTCAAACCTGTTATTTGAAAGACTTGTGTATTTCCCATGTTGCCCTTAAAGCTGCATGAACAGGACCCTGTCTCCAATGTAATATTTTTTTGGCATGGTCACAGACTCCCCATGGCAGTGCCCAGCTTCCTATGCTTTCTTTAGACCGTGGTTTGCCTATTAACCCTTACAATGGGCATAATCTACAGGATCAGCCCTATAGACGTCATTTAGATTTGGTGCTTTGTTTTGGTTTTGTGAATTTCAAACATGGTATGAATGACCTGTACAGATTCACCCATCCCTGGTTATTACTTAACTACAGTGTAGACTACAGACTACTATCCAGGACCAAAGCAATAGTTGAATAAAATTACAAATCTCATATTTGTTTTTAACTGTGTAATTAACTGCTTGCCAGTAGTTCAGTTTTAGGTTAAATTCAAGGTAATTGTGTGTTTTTGGAATGAACAACAATCTGGCTGCCTTACATTGTTACTGGAACATCACAGTGATTTCCATATACTTGTTTATAGTAAGGAAAAGCTGGGTGTGGTTTCATACCTTCATCACCTGCCTGGTTGTCCTCCCAACTCTTGATGTAGTCATCCTAACAGGAAAAGAAAATAATGGGGAGTTAGTAGTAAAAAAAATTATGATTACCAAATTGTATTCTAAAGTTAATCCTAATACTGATATCTGTTCCATTCTAAAACATAAAGTCAGTCATCAAATATAAACATAACCACCCAGAAAGAGTGAAAATTGAAATACATTTTCTGCTTTTCTGTTTAGCAATGAACAGTTGACATCCCAAGGACATTGACAAAAAACACTGCTACTAAATCTTGAGACTTATATGTACTCACGAAAACAAGAAGAAGAAGAATAGTTATATATAATCACTAAAAAAAATGGATAAACTCAGCCCAACTTCAGCCATTTTTGTTATTTTGGATGAAGTAAGAAGAGAGAAAAATTATTTCAGGTTTTTTTTATTTGTCTGTAATTACATTAGGGGTATTTCTTCTCACTTCCATTCCCTGGGGGTATGAACAGCAATAAAATAATTTTAGTGCTTTCCCACTTTACTAAAAAAATATTTTGTTTGTGTCCATACTAAAGAGATTACCCATCACTTCCTGTCTTGGCAGGAAGTAAGAAGAAGTGATGTGTTTATTGCCAACTCTGTCCAGTGGAGAAAGAGATGGCAATAAAAAGTAAAACCTGTCAAAGGCATTAACCCTTCCCTGTACGATCCAACACAAAGTTTTGGCTGTACTTGGACTGTGCTGCATTAAAACCCATCCACTCATTCTAACAAATGTCCATTCTTGACTGGTTCTCTTTAAAGCACCCAGCTATGATGGCCTTTTAAGCACCATAACACACCTTTATCCAGCAGTTTCAGTTTCACAGAAGAGAAGCGCAGTGTATGGATCTATACTGTGAGTATCTTTTGTGGAATCTGAAACTGCTGGATGCGGGAATACACAAGGTTTTGCTTTTGTTTTCATAAATGGTCCAACTTGTTGCAAGTAATATTGCATGGCGGCAATTAATATAATTAGTTTAGATCACACAACCAGGTATTTAATTATAAATCTTTACATTATGTTCCAGAGCAGGTAGCTGCATGAAACTGGTTGTCTGGTTCTTCATGCCAATTGCTGTTTGCAGTGCTGCTGTATTCAAGCGTCTATTGCCTCACGAATACATATTAAAGATGATCTTCAGGCAGGAACTTGGATGTCCAGAATAAAACAGTAACACACATGGCAACAAAGAAACTGCATGGCAATCTGGCATGTGTGCCTAAACAATAGATGACGCAAAGGTCTTCTGCAAGTGCAAGTCATATCTTGAAAAAAGACCAACCTATCCCTCGATGAACATTTCTATGGTTTACAAACGGGTTTACAAATGTGCCATTCTTTTATTTTAAAGCCAACTTAAATGCAATTCTTGTTTTACCAATTGTTTGTTCAGGATTTCACAGCACTATTCCTTTGCCTGAGTACACTTGCAGTGTCCATTTAACAAGCCCTTTTTTCTATATTAAAACATTAAGACCTCTCACATACTCACCCGTGACCTAACCGCATCCCCCTTATCCACCATATATTACAAAGTAATCTCCCCAGGGAAGGAATGTCTGGCTCTCTACAAATATTATGTGAAAAACTGTATGCATGCGGGAGGAAAAACAATATCATCTTGTTATGAAATGGTAGCTTTTATCCTGTTGTTAAGCTTGTTTCTGCTTTCTAAGCCAGCTTTGATTGAGCATGCATTCAGACCTGTGCTTGTTTATGTCCCTTACTGAAGAGGTGACTTTTAATAAATGTCAGATGCTCAATAAAAAATGTTCAGTGCAGTGAGAAATTGTGATGAAAGGCTGAAACATGAGAAAATAGGATCAGCGATAGCAGCAAGAGGTGACAAAATATCTACATATAAATACACAAGAAATGTAACAGAACTCTCACACCAGATGGAACTGACATTGTCATTGTACCTAAATAACAATACATTGCTTGCTACATTTATGAGGCAGGTCACTGGAGACTTTACATCTTGTACAGCTTGTATATATTCTGAGTTCCACTTTGATTGGTTATGCTGTATTTACCTGAACTTTATTTCCCGTGTAGTTCTAAGAGGGCAGCTAGAAAAGTCTGCGATAAAATAGAATATATGATCTGTAGTCAACACTGATTCAATAACATACTGAACAGGTTGTAATAACCAATGGCTTTGTACTCTTTCCTCTATTCTTTATAACTTAGCCCAGGGCTCTCACAACCATTTATAGTATTACACTCTTTTCTTTACAAGTTTGCTCCATGTATATGTGAACATGATTATCTTAAATTATACATATAAGTATATATGAAGCCAATAACTTTGGATGAAATAGGTCAGGTATTTTTGTCTCTGTGTCCCATTGGTGAGATTTCTTTTAATTTCTTGTCCTGTAGACACAATAGAAAGTGAGAGGAGATCTTACCCAAAACAAGAGTCCCCATTGAAAGATTTTCTCCTCTATTCCTGTTCTGGTTGTGACAATATCACAATCGTATCCTCAAGCTGAGCAAATATTTTCCAGCTCGCAAGACCAGCAAAGTGGACGTCACTAGTTAACTCTGCAGTTAATCCTTTACGCACTCAAAAAGTGGCCACCACTACATGCTTTAACAGAAACGCACACCATTCACAGCATCTGTTGTAGCAATTCTGACCGTGCTCAGACAGAAATGTAAAAGAGTTTACAATATGGTAGCTTTTTTCAAAGGGGCAATAAATACTTTAATTTCAGGTTAGAGCATTCAGGCCTCATTCACACCAGATGCAGTGCATTCTGGCTCGATTCTGGCCAGAACGCACTGTATCGCATTGTGGCCGGCTCACTATGTTGTGGGGCAGGAGAGGGCGTGGCAGTCCATTCAAGTGAATGGCACCGTAGCCACTCCCTCCAGCCGCAATGTGATCGGCCGCACGGGAATGCAAGGCACATTATGCATGCTGTCTGGTCCGAACGAAATGCTGCAAGCACTATTTTGTTTGGACCAGACTGGACCGCAGGCATAATGTGACTGAGCCCTCAGAGACAGATTAACGATTGTCATTATTATTTCAGTGAAAAGGGAAGACATGATGCAAGAAAAGATTAGCAAAAGAGATATTATAAGTAGAATATTTTTAATAATATTTATTCAAGTGGGGAGAATTTGCTTTTTAGATATGGAAGCTCTGCTTTCTGAATAGTAGAAATATACAGTGATTTTCCTTTACTGCGCCCCTTTCCCAGTGCAAATTATAGTAGAGATGAGCCCAGTGTTTGTACATGTGCAACCCAAAGCCAAGTAATTTGCAGTTTGGAAAAATGTCAAATTAATGTGTCTGTTTACTGCTATGGCAACCAATTACCAGTAATGCACTTCCTGCCCTTTCAACTGTGGTTAAGTGGCTAATAAGGACCAATAATGGAGTTTTCTTATGAGCTAGCCCCCCTCCTTATAAAAGTCAGGGTTCCCAGAAGCCTTTTGTCAGTATATGCAGGGACTTGGAGTCGACAGGTAGAGCTTAAGTTTCATATTAGTTATACCTTTAGCGCTTTGATATATATTTTTCTCGACTGTTGATAGTATTCTTCTATCCTCTGTTTAGAGCCGCTTTAGGTCTTAATTTATTATACATTTCCACTTTAGTCTCCTTTCCAGTAGCGTGGATTATCTATTTCTCAGACAGGTAGAGCTGACTGAGGTATTTATCAGAACTGTACCAGGCAGAATTTGGAGCAGCTGCCCATATTAACTAATCCACTTCTATCTTTCATTTTCAAAGATTAAGTGCTATAGATTGATCTACAGTGCAACATAGGGAGGTATACAGTGCTTTATAAAATGTTGTCTAGTGCTACATTATGGTGAATTACAGTGTGGTGGGCTACTCAGTGTGCACCCAATAGCCCTTTTAGGACTACATTTATTGTGTTTGTCAGCAACAACCTGACTATTTAACTGCTGCCCCCCCCCCCCCATTTTTTGGGGTTTTTAGTTTAGTTTAATTTCTTTTATTATATGTTTTCTTTTTTAAAGAATATCTTTTTATAAAAAAATCAAGGTTAAATACAGACAAAATACAAAAGCAAAATATAAATAAAGAGACAATAGACATGAGCCATCATAGCAGTGTGGCAAATGACTAGATTATAGTCAGATTAATAGCAAACATTTTGAAATGTAACATCTCACATGCAAGGACAGTAGAGCTGCAACAATTATTCGTTGACGTCGATTAAAATCGACGATGGAAAACGTTCTCAACGTTTTCCATCGTCGATTCTTCGGCTAAAATTTAAATTTCCGCTCGCCGCTCACGCCTGCCTGTTCGTGGCTCTGTACACGAGTTACGCTACGCACGCCTCGTACGCCACGCCGGATTTAGTAAAGTTCACTTGGAGGGTTAAAATTCTTTTGTGGTCTGTCCACACAGCCCTATCTCTTGTCTGTAATTCACATACCTTATAAGAGGGGGTTTTCATTACACACATCCTAGCAAGATGCTTCTACCAAATGATTGACTAATGCCGTTCCTTTTTTAATGTGAATATATTGAGAAATGAAAGGCCGTTATTTATGCCTGATCGTGCTTTACAACAATACATAATGACACTGTATTAGATGTTGCACGCAAACTGAAAGAAACTGATAGGTCTGCCACATATTGGCAGATATTGACTTTGCTGAGAGGCGTTATTGATCTGCCTTTCGCATAAAGGCAAGCTTTACCCAAAGCTGGTATTTGTTTTGATTGCATGCCAAGTTGCATGCCAGCTTATTGTATCTCTTAGGCACTCCAGTGGTAGGATATCCCAACCAGAATCCAGACCTGCCTTACAGCTACAGTCATCACAGAACCAAGTAATGAAAGAATGCCTCCCTGGTGTATTTGCAGTAATGTTGATTAAAAAAAATATTTGGAATCCCAGCAATAATACATTAAACAGCCTGTATAATATATTATTGCTGGGATTTGTTGTTCCTCTATAGCTGCTAATGTTCTGCAGTGTGCCGCTGTATTATACATTGGTATTCTGCATTGTAT